ACCTCCATTTCGAACACGCGGCGTATGAGTTATATCGATTGCGGTCCGCTGAAAATTATGCGACATGATTTTTTTTTTCATTGGGGTGGAGCTGAAGGTGTATACATACATATGTACATATGTATGTATGTATGTATGTATGTATGTATGTATGCATGCATGTATGTAAATGTATAAATCAATGAACTTTTATACATTTACACAGAACTTTTGATTCTGCAGGAAATTGCCGAATGTTCAAACTACTATTCCCCTTCCCCTACTTCCTGTTCGCACACATGCGAGCTGCGTGTATTTCTTAGTCCTCAGATCGGCAAATGTGAAAGTTCTTGCGCTGTGCCATCACTATAAATATACATACATGCATACATATGTACATATTTATTTATGTATGTACATATGGACTGGTAATAATCGTATTTAAGTCAACTAATGCGCTTCCCTGGTAAGTCTTTCAGTAAATTGGGTATTGGGTATTTTCTTTGTCAGGTGCAGCTGCTGGTGCAGGTCTGTAAATCAACGAATGTTGTCACATTGCGGCTGTTAGTTGGTTTGGCTCGTTTTCAATATTTAATACCCACAAATCGTCTTAAGACGATAACCACCAACTCAATTCAACTCGAGCCATGCCAAGCCAAGCCGAGCCGAGCCGAGCCGAGCCAACGACTACCCAACCCAGATCATACCAAGCCAACTTAACTCAACCCAACCGAACCGAACCGAACTGAACTCAGCCGGGACGGAACGGGACGGATCGAGCGAACGGTCCACCGATTCTAGTTTGAACCGGCCTCAAGCGGTTTCAGGCTGTTAGCACGCTGCCCGTCTCTGGCGCTGCCACTGGCACTGGCACTGGCACTGGTTCCAGCGCCGAAGTCTGGCCAGTTTCAATAATATTTATTTACATACTCTAACAGAGGGTGGGGTGCTTTCACTGCGACCATTCATACACACTCTGGGAAGTGGTTAAAGGTCCTTGAGCCATAACCCACACAGATGTACCACCAAACCGAAATTAATGATTTAAATCTTTGAGCTCTGGCAATTAAATGTTCTCAACTTCTCAGCATAGATCTATCATTTGATCATTTGAGTTTAGGTCTTCAGATCCGGTAGGTAGCGTGTAGAGTACGGCGGCATACCGAAAACAAATTTGTTTGTACTGGTTTGTCACTCATTTTCCGATTGGTATCGGAGGCGCAAAGACAACCGGGCTTAAGTGCTGCTGGCAGAGCTGTGGGTGAGCTGCTTCGCACAGATCTCCCCCTCATAGAGTTAAGACAAAAAAAAAAAAACAAAAAAATAGAGGATAAACGACAATTGAAAGATTGATGGCTTCGCTGCTGGCTAATGGCACAAAGCGGACCGGCGTAGCGGTATGGTACACGTATGTACATACATACATATTTCCCCAGTCCACAGACTGAGTCCATTCGATGCCGATACCATCCCGGCCCAGAAACGTACAGAGTACAGAGTAGTTCCCGGTATCAGTGCCACACTCCCTAGTCTAGACTGCTTTACCGTTGCTCTTGTCTTGACTTTATTGGCATCGGCGTGGTACCTGGTTACGTGGGTTGGGCAAGTGGCAATTGGCATGCTCCAGAGCTCTAAGGGTACAGAACCGGGCACGTGGACTATGACAGCGAAATCCAGGTGTAACAGGCAGGTAAATAGGCCAAACGGGCAGCTTGGCTGCAAATAATTTGCGTTAATTTGGTAAGAATCTATTTTATTTTATGCAACGAGTCAAAGGGATTAAAGGGTATTTAAGCACACACACAAACCGTGTAAAACTTTTCCATCGAGCTTAGCCTAACCAGAATATTATGCAATTCGAACTAATTTCCATGCAAACTAGCACTAGAAGTATTCCCTGCTCTAGATCTTTGCAACGCTCTCTCTAAAAGCTATGTAAATTTCTTGTACCATAGTCTGATGGTCTGAGTAGATCTATCCAAAATAAATTGAGTACGATGCCAACACAGAAATTTATTTGCAGGGACAGGGACACAGACACAGACACGGACAGCTGAGGCAGTGAACTTGAAGAGGTTATTAAAAATTCAAGTGCGGTAGCCGGGGGCGCTAAGGCAAATACACGTTGCCACTGACCCATATTAGTGTTAGTGGATCGCTCAGATATACATACGTTCGTGTATGTGCATTTATCCGGGTGTGGTGTGCGTGCTGACAAGGGTTTTGTCGCTTTCTTGGAAATAGATTTACTGTTTGGCGATCATAAAATGATTTGGCTAAATTTGCTAAAGCCCAACACAAACAGAACCCTGGCAAGAACAGCCACAAACTCTAACGCATTCTTATCGCCCGCCCAAGCAACATCCATCCATCCATCCATCCCATCCATCCGTCCATCCATCCCATCCCATCCGTCCGTCTGCGGGTTAGTCAGAGTGGGGAAGACACTGCGAAAAACGATCCAACCCGAATGCGATCTACATGTCCCAGTCATATCTGATGGAACGGATTCAAGTGGACGGGGGAAAACTCCAAGTGTAGATAGTCTTATCTTTGGGGTTAGTCAGAACCATAATACGGCAAGATTTGGGCAGCTTCATTGTTTTTCTGCTCATTTCTGTCATTTCGGGGTGCGGGTTTTTTTTTTTTTGTCATTGCCATTAGGCCACGTTGTGCAATTTCACATACATTTGATTAATCGGCAGCAAAAACTGTAAGTTTCGGACGGCAGGTGACTATACTTAGAACGGTGCATAATACAGGTAGATGTACGAGTACTTGAGGCGTGGCCTTAGCCTTAGCACGTGTCTCGCCATCAATTAGCACCCAACCACCCATCCATCATAGTTACAGCCATCGTGCGGCTGGTCTTCATTGAAATTTAATAAGATATTACATTAAATTGGTATCGCACTCCCCCTTCGTCCCCACTCACGAAATGCATCCGGGTGACGCATTCCAGAGGCCATCCAAATCAGTATACTCCAGATGTACGATACGATCTTGGCAGAATCAGCTTAGGGCAGATCAGTGCAGATTCTTTTTTTGTATGCTCAATTAAAACTGGAGCTGGAGGCAGCTGTCCCCTGGCTGGCGGGAATTGCAAATTGAATGGCGTTAACAGGCTAATAAATAAATTAACAATTAGCTGAGGGTCACGATAAATCGACACACAGATGGGGATATATGTACATACACTATACATATGTACTTACATATATGTACATATGTATACGAATAAGAAGCTGATTGCATACCGTTTGAGAGTACAGAATAAGACCTGGCTTTGGAGTAAGCAGAGAATTTCAATGGTTTTTTTAATGACAGTAGGCACGATCTAAATATATTCTGATACTTAAAATTCCAGGGTCCAAGGCCTCAAAGATTTTCTCAGCCCCCCCCAGTAGTACCCAGTAATATATAGAACGAATAAATAAACCCAAAATAAGTCACAGAGTCAAATTTCTAGCCAGATTTAAGCACGAAGAAGCCGAATCCACATAGCGGATACGCGATGTTGATAGCTCGATATTCATTTGCTTTCATACATGTACATATGTACATACATACAATGTGTGTGTATGTATTTATTTATATCAATATCGATGCCTGGCAGATCTCGTGACGTTTGGCGATGACGGCGATAAGACACAAATACAACAAATATGACGAAAGCTAGAACCAAAATTGAGACTCGAACGCAAGCTGAGGACGGAGCAGCGTATGGGGTTGGGGACGACAATAAACAACAGTGTCGTTCATTCAAGCAAGCAAATAAATAATTAATAAATTCAAAATGAGACGATAAAAATTGCTTGAGGGCTGTCGGTGGGTTGGGGGGCGATTGAGGCTGCCTCTTTGGATCGGCTTTTGTTGGATGTAGAAGGAGATGTTGGATGTGAATGTGGATGTAGATGGGAGCATTGTTTGTTTGTTTGTTTGTTTGTTGTTTTGCATTAAACAATTGACGCACTCACCCACCGTCGGCTGACACACTAAAGAAGATAGTGGGGGGAGAGCAGGGAATGGAATGGATTATATGTATATCAATGGCGCGTCGCCAAATGTTTTTCCATCTCTTCCATTAACAGTAATTATCGCAAATTATCGAATTTATATATGCTAACTGAGCGTCCCGCCGTCGCTGCTTACAAATCCAATTTTGATCCACACACACACACATACATACACACAGACACACACACACAGCCTGCTGAAGGAGGCGTGGCGTCGGAATTCAATAATTTCTAATGAAAGTTGAAAAGCGCCGCTTCAAGCGATTGGTTGGGAATAAGAATCCCCCACTGAGTGTCAGCCCGCGGATAGTATCGAACATGTTCGACGCCCGGTCGAACCGCGAGGCAGCGATGCTGCGCTGTTGACTTCACACGTACAGTGGGACAAAACAGGCTTCACATATTTTTGACAGCCAGTGTTCTTATAACTTTTCATCATCCACATGTTTGAAATAAATAAATAATAAATAAATTTAAAATGATTAAAATTCAGTTGCCCCGAAATACCATTAGGTAACCTTTAGGTTACCTTACCAACAAAGATTTCTAAGAACCTCAGATTGGGAGAACCATAAATTGACGAGACGGGGAAATGAAAAGAAAAAGTTGCACAAAAGAAAGGGAAAAAGTTATTCTGCAAGATGTTCTCCATTTGAATGAAACTCCAACTGTTTTCTACCCACCGTGCGATGCTGCGCAGTCGGGGAACACCCACACACACAGACACACACACACGCAAGCTAAGTCAGTTCGAAGCTCGAAGCTGAGCAGAAGAAAGAGCCGAAATCCAACACAAACGAATCGACAAGCAACCGCAACAGCAACGAAAAAGAAACCGAAAAAGCTCGTGATCAGTGCACCGCTCTCTTCTCAGCGCCTGCGCCAGCGCCAGCGGCAGCGCTCTTTGGCTGCCAGCGGTGAAGCCAACGCCAGCGTAAGCGCCAGCGACGACGCCGACGGCATGCAAACAGGATCTGAGCGTATATTACGTAGCGTTGGGCTTTAAGCCAACATCATTCCCCAGCCGAACGCCAACAACGCTAGCAGCAGATCCAGCGATCAGCGTTAAAAGAGCCACAATCCACGTTTAGCCAGCAGCCAGCAGCCAAGCACCAACCGCTAACCGCTAGCATCGATAACGAGCAGCTGTTTTGGGCCCAGTTTCAGACAGTTATCTGGCCGCATCTGCCAACAGCAGCAGCAGCGGCAGCACCGATCCCCCGCATCGTCAGCATCAACAGCAGCGGCAGCAGCAGCAGCAGAATTGTCAGCAGAAACAAGTGCAAAAGTGAAGTGAACTCCGCCGACAGCGACGCTCTCTCTGTCACCTCCACCTCCACCACCACCACCACCTGCTTTGGCAGCAGCTCCTCTCTCGCGCTCCGGCTGTGTTCGCCGCGGTTCGCTTTAGACTCGGACTCGGATTCGGACCCGAGATCGGGTTCGTGTGGCGCTCCGCTCGCGCTCCAAGTCGCGCCGTAAATTACTTGCAAAGTTAAATTTAGTCTCGGCTTTTAATACCGTTTTTGTGCGTTTTCGAGTTGGTCGTGTTTTTATTAACAACAAAATTCCAATCAACAATCAAAAAAACAAAAATCAGCTCGAACCAAAACCAAAAAAAAATAATTCCGAAGAGTAAAGCTCTTCCAGCTCTTCGGTGGGAAAGACTTTAATGTGCCTGCGAGAATCTTGAAATTGTGAAACACTTCCCGGATCGATATCCTGTTGGCCGATAATCCTGCTGAAATTTTTTTTCTTGGCCAACTACCCAAGTAAACTACATCATTTTTTTTCTGTTGAACAAACTTGAACGGAGATGTAAGCTACTCGCCCCCGCCGAGAACTGAGCCCCACTTCCTGCTGAACATTAAGAAGAACATTTTTTTTTCGACGCGGCCCACGACCCACCAGCTCCGAAACGTCCAGCGCCAGCAAGCCAGCCTTAAACAACAATATCCAATTTCATAACATTTAATTGCAAAGAGCAGCAATTTAATATCATAATTTACAAACAAACAAACAAAAAAAAAACGCGCTCACATACACACACACACACACATACACATACGGGCGCACTAATACGCACACACAGAGGACAGCGTATCAAAAAGACGGAAGTGGATTTTGTTCGTTCATCGGCAAAGCGGCGCATCCTGTTTTTGGATTTTCCACACAATCAAAAAAAAACAAACAAACAAACACACACGGGACTCTCTCGCGAACACGTCGAAGAGTTGCGATCACGTTTTCGCAACAGATATAACGGTAAGTGAAGCTGCCATGCTATTATTATATGTATTTGGAATATACTTAAGCATCAGTACTCGTATTTTAAAGTGGTGTAGCCCGAAAGGACTAGAACGATGAATGCTGGCGAAATAAGAGATTTTTTTTAATTTGATTTATTTAATGTTTTTTTTTGTCAACATAATATATAGATTGTGGTTTAGTACTACGTATAGCAATAAATTAGAACTATTCCTCTACCCGTAGAACAGTTTTACAACAGCTGCCATAGAGATGAATCACAGAATTCAATTAAATCAAAAGCAGCCCGTCAAAATAAGCTGCACAAATGGTGCCACAGCCGCAGCCGCAGCCACAGCAGGCTCTGAGTTGTTCCAATTCTATTACTCGTAGTGGAACCATTAGTTTCCGATAAATTCCGATAAAATTGACCAAAACCAAGCAGTGGTAAATTCGTCAAAATATTGATGGACGTGTCGAGGATGAATATCCCCACTATAAACATATACGAGTATGTACATATGTATGTATGTATGTAAATGTATGCATTAAATGTATTTGACTGCCAGAAGGGACAGAGAAACCCCAGCCAAATGTTAATAATAAACAAACAAATTGCATAAGCTTTTGCGGCATGTGCGAGGCCCACAGGCAAGCACCCGCAAACGAACAAAACGCAAGCGAATCCAAACAAAGGAAAACTCTTTTGAAGTCATTAGGCAATTCTTATAAATTCCGGGTCGGTGTTGTTTTCTCCCAGAATGAACAGAAAGCTGAGCTACCATTCTATTAAAACTATCGAGAGATTTTTACGTTCAGGAAAAAAGGGCTAGGAGTCGCCTGCAAAGCGCTTCCAAGTTAAATTTGGGAAGGCTGGTCCGCAGACACCCGCACCATAGAGAATAGAGAGAGAGACCCGGACAGAACAGCAACATCCACAGCTACCATGCGGTGTTTCCCAAAAATGGTCATGTGACGCCGCCTCGGATCGGCTGGATACGTTCGTGATTTTGGCATGCGCACTGCATGGGGGGTTATTTAAGCGCTCGTCGAACATGCGCCGCTTTTCAATGGCCCAAAGAGACTTATAAAGCAGGCAGCTCACATCCACATCCCCCAGAGCCACAGAGCCCCAGAGGGGCCAGCAATCAGCATAGAAAACTTTCACTGGCGGTCCAGCGGGACCGATTCCGAATGCGATTGCGAATCCGCCTCCGAAACTGCTTTCAGTCCGAGCTTAATTCGCATGAAGATGCGTTTCAGGCGGAAATCCGCACACAAATTGCCGACTTCCAATGGCAATTTGCATAAATGTTGTTACGATAACAAATCACCTAGAAAAAATAGCAGCGAGCGCAAACTATGACAAACAGACATACAGAAATACTAATACTTAGTTCTAATTAAAAGTGGTTGGAGGGAAAAAAAAACTAATTAACATTTTTTGAGCGCAGCGCAAAGCAAAAAAAAAAAACGCACACACAAAAAAAAAAGTTAAGTCAATAGAGGTGAGAAAATCAATTCACAACGACAGACACAGACACAGACAGTGGCGAAGGCAGCGGCTAGTCAAGTGCCCACTTGAGTGGAAAATCAATGCACTTCCGCAAAAATCGCCAAACAGACACAGACACAGATACAGATACAGATACATCCGCAGGCACACTAACTATTGTACAGATTCTCACACTTACAGATCGACAAATACTTACGCTCAGAAAGTGAGGCGGCTTCCTCAACCACCCTATTTGCATGTAATTATTAACAATTTATTGCAGCTGAGCTGAATCCGGAGCCGCTGCCAAAAAAAAAAGTCAAACAAAAATGTAAAAAAGCGCGCAGCGATTCTTTATGGGCTCTTATATAACATTTAAAGGCACAGTTTAGCTAGAATAATTAAGCAACACTTTCAGGCGATATTCAGCGGCGTCATAAAAATTAGCCCCGAAATCAATACACTAATTAAGTAGAAGCCAAAAATATTCTAGCAATTATCTCAACAGTTCGCTGGTGATTTTAATTTGTTGCCTTAAATTAGCCATTAATCCAAGCAATTATGTAACTAAATATTCGTACTTAATTTGAGTCAATCAAAGTGCGGCGCATTTATTTTGCAATTTGTCGGGAATCCACTTTGTTTTCAAAAATTGCTATGTATTAAATATACAAAGACAGGAACTAAAAAGAAAAAAAAACACACACACACAGAAATAAAGGATTTTTTATGGGACACTCAAAATAAGTACTAGAAAATTATATAGTCGTAAAAGTGCTTCTACCGTTCTACGGCTCTGTTCAACTGAGAAAGATGTAAGATATAAAATATATATAGATATAGATACGCAGTGTGTGACTCACGCAATGCATTTTGACTGCAGCAAATGACTTTGGGATAAAAGTTGCCTTTTCAGACGAATGAAACTTTCGCCCTTTTGCTGGGTTATTAAACAAAACATTATTGTTTTAATTATTGTTTGATTTGCTTTGCTTACTTATTTGTATTTTTATATTCGTTTTTATTTGTATGTACTGTATTTTACTGTACTTGTGAGACTGCCTTTAAGACTGCCAACTCCTTTCGACAAGTGCTCGAGGCTGTTGACGCTGCTGCTGCTGCTGCTGCTTGTTGCATCTACAAAAACAAATTTTGCTGTATGTCTGGCTGTGTGTCTGTTTGGGCTGGCTGGCTGGCTGTCTGTCTGTCTGTCTGTCTGACTTTTGCTCTTGCTACTGCTACTGCTGCTGCTGCTGTTTTTAATATCGTGTTGGGATCTTTGCACAACAATTTTGCGGCTGTTCTGCCGTGTGCCTGCCTGTGCCGTGCTCTTCTGCTCTGCTCTGCTTCTGATGATTATTATGATGATCGGGTTGGCAGGTTGACTTTATTAGTCATACGCCGTGTGTGGCTACTTGTCCCCAGTCGCCAGTCCCAAGCCACAGCCACAGCACCACCAGCAGCAGCAGCAGCACAGCCTTCTTGGCACGGACAGTGCCAAATAGCTGTGTAAATATTTGACCAACTCTTGTTAACACACTCTGCAAATAATTTATATAAACTTGAAATTAACATCAGACATCAGCAATCAGACAGCAGCCAGCAGCCAGCAGCCAGGCCCAACTGGAGCGGCTTCCGAGCGACAGCACCCAGCATGTCGAGTCTGTATGTCGAATTTTATCACTTCATTAGAGCGAACTCCCTGCCAACTTTGGGTGCAGCTCGTCAAGACCACAATCACGATGATATTGATGATCAAATCTGAACATATACGTGTAATTAGCTGCCTAGCTCTCGATTTGCATGGCAGGTGGCCAAAAGAACAGGGCGAAAAGAGCAAGAAACCTTTCCCAACTGATAAGAATAGAAGCAGGCCCAACTTTAAGATACAGTACAGTCAAAGAAATACTTATATATGTATATGGAAATGTTTTAAATTTTATAGGTACTGAAATGCATGCAATACTTGGCTCGTAATTGTGATCCACTGATTGTGTAGCCACTGATATTGGCAAGTACTGCTGCGGAGACAGCATCCATCCAATTCGAGCATTGCATAACCCCTCCCACCCTGTGTGTGTGTGTGTGTGTGTGTGTAAGCAGCAGCCATGATCATAAACTAAACTCGTTCGCATAAATATATGTACATATGTATATATGTACGAAACAGTCTGCGTACGTATTAATACACTCGTACACACACATTCATATTTCAGGCTCGTTTCTTTTGTTGCCACTATCGGATTTCTTTTGTGAATGAAATTAACATGAAAAACAAAACAAAAAAAATGTCTGTAACCTTTAGAATCGAAATTTCGAGGCGCTGGAAAAACTTCCACGATGACTATCTGACTATCTGACAAGCCATCTACGAGTATCTGGATGGAGCCATAAAAGCCATGAAAACTTTCCATGAACAGCGGCCCAGGCTCCAGCCAGTCTGATCTGACCGATATATATTTACTACATATATGTATGTATACATATACATGTATATATTTTATGTATTGTCTTTGGTGGGGCTTTCACCCAATTGCGGAACACGCACAACAATAACAACAACAACAAAAATAAATCCAATAGCAGTAGCTGTGTGGCAGTGGCAGGGGCAGTAGCTAACCTGCCTAACGAAACGATCATTATCGTGATAAGGCGCGAGGTTTATGATCAGGTTTTTATTGTTATTTATAGCCAAATAATTACCAGCTCCGACCAGGCCGATAAGAAGCAGAAGTCCCGGCCCTGGCACCAACAATGTACATACATATGACTATGACGAGCAGCAGCTACTTAGTCAGTGGCCACGTTGCTGATGAGCTCGAGAAGCATCCAAAAGCTCGTGCCCGATCCCACAATGCCCGATGCCCGATGCCCGATGAACGCCCAACCGCCCGCCCGTCCGTCCGTCCGTCCGCCTCTCCCAGATAAGATTTCGTATTTGTATTTCATAATATCATACGTAGGAGAGTGATATGATAGTGAATGACTGACTCGAAGCCTCCCGTACTACGCCCGTTCTGTTCCGCTTTCAATGGCAAACATTGAACTTTGATGTTGTTCTTATAAGCTTATATAATACGCTCATTATGCCCCATTATATCGTACATGTGTATAATTGAGATCCTATCCAGGTTTTTTTTTTTTTTGTTTCTGCTGGGTCTTTCCCACCGAATTCTGCGTCGCAGAACGGCCACAAAGCCAAACAAATAAGCCAGAGGCTAAGCCAGAGCCAGAGCCAGAGCCAGAGGCTGGGCAAAGCACTTAACAAACGACAGAAAATTCCAACAAAGGCTGGAGCAGATTCTTGATTTATTTGGCTAACAAATGAGGGATGTATGATGTATGAGTTCTCGTACTCGTACTCGTACTCCTACTCCTACTCGTTCTCTCGTGTATGGCGGACAGGCGACAGAGCACCAAAATGGCCCAAAGAATTCGCTACAATTCCCCTTCCCCAGATCACATGTACATATGTATCTTGCAGGGGCCATAGCCATAATCTTTTCACGCTAACGAGCATTCT